TTTAAATCTGTGACATGTACAGGCCAATTAGAATTCATCTTTGAGCCCAGTGAATTTCTAGGTTAGTGAGAATTTTAGAAGTTATAATAAGGGCATGCTGACACATGCCAAAGTCAGTGACATGCAGAGCATGGACATAACACGAAATGCTGTACTGAATGCCATTCTACTATTTTGATTTATGTCATGAAAGTTTCCTCCCTGTTTAATTTTATCATTCATGAGTTGGACAATTGGAAATTGTGAGGAAAAAAAGGTTAATATTTACTGGTTCAAGCCAAAACTAATTTCAAAACACACTTATCTAACTCTCTGCTACTTAAGAACTGTGTGTGTTGCCAGAAAACTAGAGACAAATCATACCCAAGATTAGGTTTTCATGTACATAAAAGTGAGTTTCCCATGATCATATGAGAATATTGCTTCTTAACAAAGAAAAGCTGATGATTAGTAAACAATATTAAGAATGTTGAAGCCTTCAAATCTACCCCTGCTTTTCAATAATAATAATAAAGAAATCATCCTGAAAATATAAGCAATTTGTTAAAGGCATCAAAATAAAAAAAAAAAACTTCAAGAAATATAAATATTCTGGCAATGATTCATATGCATTTTGAAGAAGTGCATATTTTGATGCCTGTAAATATATCAAAATATTTTTAATCACTTTTATATATGTGGTAAAATCTGCTTATATAACCTTGTAAATAGTTTTAAGATTTTTTTTGTTACCATGATCATAAAAGTCACTGCCTATTCTTTATGTTGCAACCTGACTTCCAAGAAATTGAATGAATGGAAAGCCTAATCTTATCACCATAAGTGTTCATTGGACTCCTTTGAGGACCCTTTGTCTCACTGGAGGACTCAAAATAATTTTCTTTTAGCATCAGGATAGCCAACTCTTTTTTTCATAATAATAGAAATTGAAAGAATGTATATTTTAAATATTTGGAGGTTTCTGGAAAGCAACATTTTCAAAACCATTTTTTAAAACAATCTTAATTCTAATTTGGTACAAAATCCTTTCACTCATGGGAGAGGAAGATCCTGCATTCCCTGAGGTTTTTCGGGTTGGGGGCACTTGTTTGCAATAAAACAGTTGGAAGAGGACTAGAGAGAAATTTGGCACATCCATTTTCCTTACTTCTCCTCTTTTTGTGTCTTACCGACCCACAGCTGCAGTCTGCCACAACTCTTGAACTACAGGTAACAAGATCAATGGCACTTTATGGAAATCTATAAAAGGCTTACCAATTAAATGTGTAGACTTTCCACTGGTTTTATATTTGCAAAACATTTTTTTTCCTAAAAGGGTTCCTATGCTCACTGTAAAAAAGCACAATATGTGTTGGTGACACTATCATGTATAGAAGCTAAATACTGGGAAGTGTTAATTTCCTGACCCCCAAATATAAAGATGTCAATAAAAGGGAAATGAGTACCTGTTTTACATGTGAGACTTCTAGATGACATATTTTTAATTCACTGTTTTTAATAGAAATTTTAAATTGGTAGAGGTTTATATCAGTTGTTTCAGTAAATAACATGGGTTGGATAAAGGGCTTAAATAGACACAAAGAAAATAAATTATTTGATTCTGCACAGGGGAGTCTTCTATTTCTTTCTATTTTAAGAAATACTTTCCACGAGCCAACAGAAAAAATATAACAAAGATAAATTATATCCCATGTGAGTATGAGGGATAGGATGGAGACAAATGTAAAATATTGCTTAAAACCCAAAAAGAAACCTTTTATTTTGGTTCATATTTTAAATTACCCTTTTCTAATATAAACTAGGTCAGCTTGTACACAGAAAATATATAATGAAGAAAAAACTTTTCTGCTTTTCTGGTGAGAAGTATTCTAATACCTTCAAAGGAACATATTCAAGATATTTTAGAAGTTTCCCTTTTCTAGCAATAATTCTTTTGTTATTTCAGCTTCATTTCATATGGCTTTGATCTTTTAAAATTTATCTTTTTTCACAAATTAACCACTGATAATTAAAAAGAAAAAGCCGTTCTCTGCTATGAATATATCTATCATCTTGCTTCATCACATATAGCAAATTGACCAATTATATTATTTAAAAACTGTTTTCAAAAGCCTTTTTGTCTTTCCTACAGTTCTGTGGTTTCTGTCAAATAATAGTTACCTTCTCCATCAGAGGAGTTTGTTGTTTGGGAAAGAAAAATTAATTTTATGAATAGGATTCACTCATAGATTTAAATGTCACTGTGATAGGCCATCAGTAAATCTGAAAGGAAATCAAATTCTCCATATGCTATTATAATAATACACATTTTCTTGGAGGGATGGGCATTAAAATGTGGAGTGTTACAATGAGTTTATAGTAGAGATTAAAGGTATCAGAAATATGGCAATTAAAAATATTATAAAAAGCTGCATATCAAACCTAAATTATCTCAAAACACTGAGGAAATAATCTACATGTATAGACTTTTGCATTTGCAGTAGCATGCTGCAGTCTCTTTTCAGATGCAGATCAGCCAAAGAATAACAATAAGAAAAGTAAATTAGAGCTGTAAAGCAGATTTAGGCATTCCGTTTTACTAATAGATGGATGTTGTTTTAAAATCTGCCTTGATGATCATTAGTCATTCCTTGACATTTTTACCACATTATTTGATTTCCAAAGACTGCTGAGAATCTCTATTGTCTAAAAGAAATTTCTTCTCCATGGTGTAGAGAAGGCTGATATTATCAACTTTCCAAGTTGATAAATTAATTTCCCAAATATCTTCATTTTAGACAAACATAAAGGTACTTATGCTAATGTACCTCATGAAAAACGGTGATGAAACTAGTCTAAACTCTAAGCTATACACTTTCAAAAGTTTATTCTTCAAAGAAAGCCATAGTTTCTTGATGGATGTTCCTAAACATACTTTAATTGTCCACCTGCTGAAAAATTTTAGTTAGATCTGAGGAATTTGTATGTTATGAGACAAGAAATATTTTTGACTCAACTAAGACATATGAATCCGATGCAATAAATGTAGCAAAGAACACTTGTCTTCATGATTGTGAAATGGCATCTGAAACCACAGAGAAATAAATGTTAATATTCCTGTAAAGGAGGTTGCAAATCACAATGATAAGCTGCTGAAAATATGGAAATGAAGAATAAAATAATTTTACATTTATACCATTCAATTTCCTTTTAAGTTCAAGGCAAAACGTCATTAAGGCAATGGAGTACTTTCAGAACCCTGATTTCTAAACTTTATAATTTACATAATTTATGAAATATTTTGGAGGTTCTTTTTCCGCTGTCCTCTAACCATCAGAAGTTCACAAAACAGCACCTGAAAAGCACTTATGTGTTACTAAATAATTCATGATATTTAGATTCTTCCCCAGTACAAAGAACTGCAGAACCTTCTATCAACTTCTCCCTACAAAGTGTCAATAAAAAAATGAAAGCAGCCTAGCAATAGCAGAGATAGATATTTTTCTATTACTCCTATCTATGTAACACGGTTTTTGTTGGTTTTTTTATTTTTAATATCTGTATCCACAAATTGTGTTCTTCTCTATCTGGACACCTGCTTTTAATAGCTTCATTTTGTTTGCTGAATAAATGCTTTTCTTTTATTTTTTTTCCATTTCTTTTTTTCTTTTGCCTTTTGAGTGTCAGTGACATGCAACAAACAGAAATGTTTCACAGACACCATCTCAGTGACTTTCTTTGCATGCAAATTTGGCACCTTGGTTTTAAAATGGTAATCCAGTGCTGTTCTCTGTACATAAAAAATGCAATAGTTGAAAAACTTTGATATTCTCTTGTTCCATTGCTTGACAAACTTTATCTAGCTTTTCTACACCAAATTATCTGTCAAACTACTCTCTCCATTATACATCTAATGCCTCATTATATTTTTGCATAGCTATGACCACTTTGCTGAAGAGGGAAATACAGTGTTTTCTTCAAGCTACTCAGTCTAGACGTTTTTATTGTTAACATAATTCATCTTACAAAAAGCCTTTGTTCAGGTAAAGTGGAACTGTATCCTGCCATTATATTACTAAGTTATAAGTAGATAAAAAATTTTATCTCACTCCATTATGTGCTATGCAATAAATCCACAACAGAACAGGACCAGAATCTGAATTATTGTTTCCTAGTTCAGTACAGTTTTCATCCTGTCATTTTCCCTATTCATCATGTAAGCATGTTTTCTATAAAATCTTTGCATTAGTACTTCTCTTTCAAGAGAAATCTCTGCGATACTGTGAGAAAGCACAGCTAAGAAAGTATCATAGCTCTGCATCAAGACTGATGGAGGATCTTGAGCATGGAGAAGTGAGAAGCAGAAAGACTGACAGTAGAACAAGAATTACTTTCAGTAAACATACCAAGAATCAGTGATGTGTGTCTGAACTCTACTATAACAGGATTATATGAACATAATGAGTATTTTGGAGAACAGAAAAACTGTACAATGTCCCGCAAATAATAGCATCATAACAGATTCTCTTTTCATCTCTTCATACATGAAGCTGCTAAACATACCCAAAACATGAATGAGTCTGTCAAGGCAAAATAATTTTAACCAGTTTCACATAATTTAAAACATTTAAAGGTTTTGTTATCTCTTTATTTCGTTAAACATTTGTCATCAGTCACTAAGAGGATTTTTGTATTTAGCTGTCATTACAGATGCATTAACAGAGATGTGCAGGTTTTCAAGTACCTATATTTCAGTATTAATACATTTGGATGCATTAAGTGCAAGTGCCAGAAAGCATCACTAAGCAGATAAGTTTATATCAGTATATTCTTGAATGCTTAACTTTTTTCTTTCTCTGTGTCATAAAAGGCAGTGATGGAATCATACATATAATCTGGTTTTCCTTTATTACCTTTCAAAATATTTTAATATCTACCTTTATCGTGGGTTTTGAGGCTGGGTAGTTTTCGGTAGTTATATTCTGTGCATTTTTTTCTCAGTGATTGTTTTTGTCTTTCAGACTTGAATCTCCTACTAGATCTTTGGTGATGGAAGCACCCAGGGGAGTGCAAGTCAACGCAGCTGCAGGAGACTTAAAGGCCACCTGTAGGAAAGAACTGCACTTACAATCCACAGAAGGGGAGGTAAGTTCAGTCAGCAGAGTCTGCAGCTCTGCACAGCATAACACAATGTGAGGAGGGTTTATTCAGCAGCAAGGCAAACAACATAAAAAGTGTTATACATTTGCCTTTGTTAAAGTAATTTTGGTTTAGCTTGTTTAACTATTAATACTTATTTTCTTTTTTACAAATATTTAAATCCATAAGTTTCATTCACACTGAAAATAAATTTAGTAAATACAGATCAGAATTACTTGTAAATTAAGAGTCAAAGAAAAAGCTTCCATGGAACAGAGTCGGTTAAGCGATACTGATAAAAAAATAACTTGGATTAATCTGTCAAAATAAAACAGAAAAGTTTGGATTAATTTGGATTGACGCATCATTAAACCATGATTAGGAGGTTTAACAAATTTGCTTTACCTGTGGTTTAACTCCTTAATCTTTTACTACCTCTGTAAGTAAGATTTTCTCTCCTGTTTCATTAGTGTCTTGTTTCAGAGATCAGTGATAAGTGATTGACATAAAAAGACTTTGATAAAGATTCTTCACACATAAACCTGTGTGAACTCATGCAAATGATTCAAAATTGGGTCATTTGTTGGGATGGCAATCTAGGCATTGTAGAAATGCATGAAGGATTGGTGGTATGGGAGTCCTTTAATCTTCAGACTGTAAAATGATATAACATTAGAAAAAAAAAAGGTAAAATACTTGTTAAAGGTTATCAAGAGCTCTCAGATTTCTATTAGGCACTTTGGAGAAATTGATAGATTTTCAAATTGTTCTCAGAGGGGCTTTCTACAGTACAGCATTTTTGGAAATCTATAATGTAAATATCTCATTGTGAATGGAGCTCTTTAGAAATTTTTTGCCTTTTGTGTTTGTGTTTTGTATTCTCTTCCAAATGTTTCTTGATGTTTTACATACTATCTGACATTACCAAAAACAAACAAAACCAACATTCACATCTGTGGCAAATAGTCCCCTGGAATGAACACTCTGCATTACAGTGCAGACAGGAACATTTCGGCCAATATATTCCATCAAAAGCCTATTTTGATAACTTGATGCAACTATCTGTCCTGCATAATTAAAACACTATGTTTTCCTAATTCAGAGTCAAAAAAATTTATATACCACATGTGCCACCTTATTTTTGAGTTTCTCCAAAGTCAGCTCTTTCCCCAGTTTCTCATCTTACCAGCTCTCTTACTGTTTTCTGACATTGCTGAGATAGAAGTAAAAATCCTAATCCTCTTTTAATAGTAAATATTGTCCTACCTCATCATTGTCTTTTCTGTGGGTATATTTGAGTCTAGAGCTTCCTGTAACCTGTCTTGTTTTCCCTTTCATAAATCACTACCTGGCCAAATCTATTGTGTTTCCTAAATTTATTAACATAAATTTTACAAATAGAGTGTATTTCTTTGTTCTTTCCCTTCATGATATTGCCAGAGGGGAAAAGTAAAACTTGAATTAAAATTAAGGTTAGAAAAGGAGAAACCAACAGAAAGACTGTTACCATTCCTTACTCTCCCATTATTGTTTAAGCAATGCTTGTTTCCCTATTCTCTTTGTTTTATATCATACACCTCTTCATATAAATATTTTATCTGTGGATATATCAGGGTTTTTTCTTTAGATCAACATTGTGATTTAATTGCATGACTTCTTGTTTTTCATAAGTATTTACTATGTCTTGTTGGAAAGGTAGTTCTGGAAATAATGTCCTATGATCTCACTTTGACAATGGGAATCCAAGAAAAGGATATAGTACCTATATTATGTATTATTGAGAACTAGAATTCAATTTGGTGTTAAACATTTTGTAGTAAAAAATGCCAGTGAAAAGCTGGCTTTTCTGACCTTCTTATTAGAAATCTATATTTTCTCTGTGTGATAAGACTTTGCACATCTATGATTTCCTACATAGATGTTAGATTGAAAATTATCAGAAAACAAATAAACAACCTTTCTCCACTCTTTCCCAATGAAGTGTTCAATAAAAATACACCTGACAAAGTTCAAAGTCTTGAATGCTTGCAATTTCAGTAAGATCTGAAATGAACTGTAGACAAAATCCATGAAGAAATTCTGTCCTGCAGTCTGACCAATGCCTCTATAGTCCACTGTTTAATCTCTTCCACTGGAGAGGGTTAGAGGAAAATTCAGAAGCACTTTGGAAGGCATATGACAGGCACCAGAGCATTAACTGTTGTGCAAAGTTACTATGGCCATGTTAGAGAATTGCTGGACTAATTACTGCCTGGTGTGAGGAACCAGGGTAAATATCCAATGGATTAAATCTACGTAAATATCTACATAACAAAATAGTGATTTTTCCTGCTTACAGCCCAACAGATAAACCACATTAGCAGACAGTTTAAAAATGCTTAAAGGTTTTATCATTATTAATTTTTAAGAAAACACATTCTAATCTGACAAAGTATCTGTATTAAAAATAACCATTTTAGCCTAAGAATTGAATGGCTTATAAGTCAGGTTTCTCCACAAATAAATTAGTGTTATCTTTTTGAATTGGATCTGTGAACCATTTTCATGATAAGACAATTTGTACTAGAAAGACAAGCAAGGGCTTTTGTACTATTTTTATTCTAGTTAGTGAAATTTAATTTTTTTAATGTTTGAAAGCTTTTTCAAAAACTTATCAAAGATATGTGAATTAGTATTTTCTTTCTCTAGTAAAGTTATTGCCCTATTATGACAGAAAATAGCTATGTTGTTCCTGGGATCAACCAATTATAGCCATGGTACAGAGCATTATGCATTTACTGACTTTGAAAAATAGATTTTCCTTTTTTTTAAGAATAACTTCAGAATATTTTTAAGAACAAAAATGTGTTTATGAAATACTTTTCTTCTATCTTTATTTCTATGCAGTATAATCTTTAGCCTCCCACATCATAAACTGAATGCCTCTGCAAGCATCCTGAATTCTGCTGTTTGATATATTTTCTTTTTATTTACTGCAGTATTAAAATAATCCTTTTAGCCCTATTACGCATCATAGTGTGTGATCCCAGACTGAATACTGGGAGCTGTAATTTAAATTCAGATTCTGCTGCCCTTTCTAAAGCTCTTGAGCTGCACCCTTGTGAGCTGAGGCATCAGCAGAATCCTTTGATTCAATTATAACTTGGCATTTAATTGTGAACTATGTATTATTCTATAAATAAACCATAACCAATGGTTTAAAGCAGCAATCATTTACAAGGAACGTGAAATGTGAAGCTCTAGGCTTCAGATGAATCCACGGGTTCACATAAGAAAAAAAAGATCATTTCTTGTCTGGAAATTTAGTACAATGACTGCTAGTTCACTACTGCTTTTTCAAATAAAAGTGTAATGCAAACGTACAAATAAATTTTGAATTCTGTAGATGTGTAATTTTACTAGACATAAAAATGTCCAAATTGAACCTGAAACACATAATTGTATAAAGATAGCAAGCTGAAAGGTCTATTTGATGGTCTCCACTCATTGACCTAACAACTAGTTGTAATAGTTTTGACCATCCAGAATCACAGAATGGGTCAAGTTGGAAGAGGACCACAATGCGACATCTGATCCCAATTCCCTGCTCAAGCTGGGTCATTCCAGAGCACACAGGATTGTGTCCAGACAGTTCCTGAATATCTCCAGCTCCAATATCTCCAGAATCTACAACTTTTCTGGGCAGAGTCTGAGAGTGCTCAATCACCCACACAGTAATGAAATTCCTTCTCATATTTCCGTGGAACTTTCTGTGAAAGAGTTTCTGCCCATTGTCTCTTAATGTGCTTCTCTGCACCACAAAGAAGAGCCTGGATCCGTTCTCTGAGACCCTTTGTGCAGATACTCATAGTTATTGATGAGGTCCCCTCCCAGATGTCTGTTCTTAAAGTGGAACAGGCCCAGCTTCCTCAGCCTTTCCTCATGAGAGAGATGCTCCAATCCCTTGCTCATCTTTGTTGCCCCCCACTGGACCTGCTCCAGGAGCTCCATGTCTCTCCTGCCCTGAGGAGCCCAGAACTGGACACGGCACTCCTGATGTGGCCTCACCAGGGCTGAGCAGAGGGGCAGGTTCGCCTCTCTCAGCCTGCTGCCAATGTTCTTCCTAATGCACCCCGGGACACCATTGGCCTTCTCATCCACATGGGCACACTGCTGGCTTGTGGACAGTTTTTTGTCCATCAGAACCTCCAGGTCCTTCCCTGTACAGCTGCTTCCAGCAGATCAACCCCCAGCCTGTGCTGGTGCATGGGGTGGCTCCTCCCCAGGTGCAGGATCCTGCACTTGCCTTGGCTGAATTTCAGAATGTTCCCCTCTGCCCATCCCTCCAGCCTGCCGGGCCCCTCTGAAGGGCTGCACAGTGCCCTGGGGTATCGGCTGCATCAGCCTCTGAAGCAGAAGATGCTAAGCAGGCTCAGCTCTCAGGAATCTTGAGCAGCTGCTATGTGTCTTTCTGGGGAGCTTCTAAGCAAGTTAGTTTCTGCACTTTCATTGCATCCTGTTGACTGTCTATGATTAAGTCACTAAAAGGAGAAAGATGTACAGAGGCTTCTCATTTTTACATACATATTCATATTAATCACCTTGTCTATGACCTTGTTCCTATTTACCTCTTTATGCCCTTGTGTTTCCCTGTCAAATTACACTCTATCGTAACAACATTTGTAGAGTATATTTTGTTGTTTCTGGTGTAATGAGGCTGATCCTTCATTATGGTGAGGCTTATAGCTGTCACATTAAAAATGAGCAATATTCTTTAATAGACAAAGTTTACTCAAAATCAGTGTGGCAGACAAGAGGCCAAGTTTATGTTTATTGTTTTAGGACAGCACATTTAATGAAACACACAGACAATATTATTTTTTAGAGCCTAACAGATGCATAAAGTGCTAACATTTGATCTATAATCCTATCCAATTCCACTAGATGCATTTAACACAGTGATTAATAATTAAGATTTATTAATATTTAATAAAACTGCAGTTCACTTGTAAGCTCAAGTAACCATA